GCTTCACTTGTTCTCTCACCAAATTCCCTCACACCTGGGGCTTCACTTGTTCTCTCACCAAATTCCATCACACCTGGGGCTTCACTTGTTCTCTCCAGAATCTCACTCAGGCTGTACCTGTTGCCTTCTGTATGTCCCATCAAACAGCACAAAAGTTCTCATCAGCAGTAAGATTTAAATTCTAGTTTTTCTGTAATTAAGCTCAAAAAGACAGCTTTTAGACACACTTGATACCTTCAGAATGGGGTCAACATTTAAGAGAAATAAAGTTTGAAACAAAGAATCACATTAATACACATACTTCTTTTAATTCTCCTAATCAGTTGGAACGCGGAAGCATTTCAGCAGCCCAACCTTCCAGAAGTTCACTATTACACATGGCTTACTTACAACAAATACATCAAAGAAAAAGAGTCACTATGGATATTTTCTCCTGAATGTATAGTGTAACAAAACCTTCATGCAGCAGAGAGGCGTTGTGTTCCAGCACAACTTTTGCCTTCCAGCATTTTTTACAGTGTACTGGGTACTAACAAAAAGAATTCAAGAGCAGCTACAAGGAAATAAATTCACCACTGCCATGATTCAATACCCACATATTAGACACTGATATTTTGCTCCTGTCAAGTGTTACAGCAGTCACAACATAAATCCACACCTTGTCACTTACAGCAGCCCAAGTAATGCAACATCTGTGAATTTCAGTGCTTTACAGAGAATCTGAGAGTAGCTGGGAAAAAAAAACCTATTTTGGGCTAGGAGGGATAGCTAAAGAGTCTCCCAGTTAAACCACATGACATACTGTATATTCCCACATACCACAGGCCTCCAAGATCACCTTGCAAGAAGTCAGGCATTCTTTTTTATTTTTATGCAGCCTTTGTTGTCTAGATGGACAGGCTTTCTGATGTTGCAAGATATAAATGACCTACTCAAATGGGAGAAAGATCTATGGGTACTGATGTAATACAGCTACTCAGCAGGGCTGAAGAGCTCAGCAATCTCTTGACATATTTTCACTTTGGAAATTATTCCAGACGCTTTTAGGATAGACAATAGTAATAGCTGCTTTTGACAAGGACATCTGAAAATCTGCGAGCTCCTTCAGATTGTGCTAAAATAAGTGTTACAGCCTTCCAGTTTAAAAACAGCTGATCAGCTCCATGCCTCATTTCACCTGGACTATCACCATAAAGACTATGTTCACCTGCAGCCTGAGGTTACTCTACACACCTCTTCACCCAGACCAGTATTTCCCTTTAATAATAACAAAAGGGTCAGAAAATTAGTCCTATATCTGCAGAGGTAGGAAGCACTTCAGATCTCATAGTTAGATACTTCTTAAAAAAAACACGGGCTTCAGCCAAAAAAAAAAAAAGTATAAAAAAAAAAAAAAAAAAAAAAAAAAAAAAAAAAAAAAAAAAAAAAGAAGAGGAGAAAGAAACTAGCTCAGAAGTCATCCCCATTCCTCTGTACCCTTGCATTAATGAAAGGGAACTAGACAGAAAACAAGTCATTGTAACAGAATTACTTGCAGAGTAGAAAAGTCTGTAAGCAAATAGGATTCACATTTTTGGTTAGTTCTCACTGCAAGTATCTAGATAACTCTGCTGGTGATCACAACCATGATAAGGGTGCACACACTAAGGAAACTGGAGTTAATCCTGGCCAGAGGAACATCAGTTCCTCAGCCCAAGAAAGCAGGCAGGACATGTAGGTAAGGGAGGCCCCATCTTCTCCAGTTTCTGGATTCTTAGGAAATAACACAGCTCGCACACTTAGCCTCTGCTTTTGGGTCACCTGCAGCATCGTTTTGCCCAGGTTCCCCCATATCATTATGCTCAGTAATTTTAGGCATAGCTGATTGCTGGAGTATCTAGAAAGCAAGATTCCTGCAGAGAAGATCTATTTCACACACTTAAGGGTTAGTGACTCCATCTGGGAATACCAAGAGAGTTCTGGGACACCAGTGAGGTGTCCAGAAATTTAAGAAATCTTGTTGAGTTTTTTTTGTCCCCGTCCCAATTTTAGACTATCACTGTTCAAAACAACATGGGTTCTAAGTTTTGGCCTTCCTTGAAGTAACTTCAGATTGAGAAAACAGAGTGGTCTATATTTCAAAGACTCCCCCACTTCACTTACCATCACTTTCACTCTTACTTTTTAAGTCTTCCATCCACGTTGGAATAGTTTTTAATGCAACATAATCCCCCAAGTACTCTTTGCGTCTTTCTTCCAAGGTCATCTTCAGCAAACGCTCTGTTTAGGGGAAAGAGAAATAAGAAAAGTTTGGCAAGCTTTCATACATTGTTGCATACGAGTGACACAGTGACCAGTGCACTGCCCTTGATGAATGAAATGCCACTTGAGGGGACCAAGCACGAGTGATGCAGTGAGTTACAACAGGAGCTAACCACGGTGCATCTCTACAAGTGCACACACCTATTTCTGGCCATCCCAGTTCTGCAAAGTCAACACCTCTTCCCCACACTCTGGGGGGAGAGGCTTCCTACCCACATCACTATGTGCTGCTTCTTCCTGCCACTTTAATTCCTTTGTCAGAGAACAGCAATTTTAGTAGGGAATTGTTGTTTTATAGGGAGTTTTCAGTATGAAAGTCTGTTCTGCAGGTTTTGCATTTGTAAACCAGAACTAAAAAAAAAAACAAAAAACACAAAAGTTCACAAAAGTGAGCCTGGTGGGAAATGAACAAAATGCTACTACGTGAGAAAAGAGATCAGAGCTACAGCAAATGTTTTTCAATTGCTAGGTGTCTGGGGTGGTAAAAAAGGCAAGTTTAGCTTTAGAGATTTTCATGGGAATATTAACAGGACACACCTAGTTACCACACCAAAATACATATGGACGGTTGTTTTTGTTTTCTGAGATGCCACCACCTCTTTTTTCAGATGTTTCATGAAAAGTAAAGCCTCAAACACCACACAAGTATGACAGCAACTGCCAACTTCACTCTTCTTCTGACCCTGCTGTAAATGGACTTTTACAGTAAAAAAAAAAAAAAAAGCCATCACAATGACCCAAAACTGCAAGCAACCCCAGCACTTTAGCTCATTTCTGCAGTCACATACTCTTTTCCCTCCCTACCTCATCAATGCTTAGTATTAGCTCAGCACAAGATGAAGAGCTTTTTCCCCTACCAAAAGAAGAGGGGGAAAGAAAAAGACCAGTAGAGAACATCAGGACACCCGTACTCAAATTTCTCCGTCTGTTTTTACGGTAACACTGTGCTACTTTAACCACATTAGTTTTTCTTGACATGTTAATCAGTAATAAATGCTTTTCAATGACTGAAGAACTTTTAGGGGTGTGGGGAAAGACTAGATCTGTATTATTTGCATTTTACATAAAGGACTACCCAAACAAAAAGAACATTTCTCAAGTTGAAGCAGCAAAGGATGAACACGGAAACTGCTTCTCAGATCAAATCTTAAACCAAGAAAGAAAATCACTGGGGTCTGGTTTGAGGTTCTTGTGTGTTTTTTTCAAAATAGAGTTTCCTAATTATGTAGACTGCAGTCAGCACAGTCTAATAAAGCAAGTCTTGAGCACAGCCTTCCTTAACAAAATAAGTTTATTTTGGTATTTTTTACAAAGTATTACCAATTTCTGTGGTTGACAAAAACATTTCTCTTTCCTTATTCAGCCTGGTATCTCCGTGGGATATTTACACCTGCCATTAGAACTGACTAATGAGGATCACCATTCTGCACAGCAGCTGTGTACCCACCTCCGTTGCCCAACTCCAGGCATATGAAACTCCAAGGATGTGAAATGCACACTGGAAGTCCTACAGGTGGGCAGACCTGAGAGAGCATGTCAGTTTTGAGGGACTGACAAACAGCTAGCCTAGGTGCCTTTTGCAGAAGAGTGCCTTCAAAACACAAGTTCTTCTCTGTAGGAAGGTTTTACAAAAGTTTCCTCTTGTGAGTCAGCAGCAAGAACTGAAACTGAGTCTTACAAACCTCCCGGAGGATGTTCCCAACAGCCTTCACTGCAAGCACAGTTTTCTGCCTGTGGCAGAAATTTGGGAAGTTTGCAGACAGCCCAGTCCTGTGTCCAAGGCTCTGAAATCACCTCCACTCCTGCTCCTACTCCGTTTCAGCTGTCCTCATGGAAGATCTCCCCTGAGAGGACGTGGACCAACCTTTAATTACCAAGAAAGTAATTAAGAAAAGCGAGCGTATTGTCAGTGGGTTTGAACTCAATATTTAGCAATCAGTGCTTTTTTCATTTCAAGAAGTGCTTCAGAATATAAAAGGCTGAGAGCAACTGGACTCAGGGCTTCATGGGAAGAACAGAGCCAGTGAGCACAGCCAGCTTTGCAGGAGTTCAGGGGGGCTTGTAAAAGGTAAAGACCTGACAAGATTTGATTTCCAAAGTACTGACTGGGTAAGAAGGAAGGAAGTTTGGCTTCTGTAGTTTTCTTCTCTATTAAACGAGGTACTTGATAAGAGCAGTCTTACAGAGCTAAAAACTGAAGGGCAATGCCAGCAATGAAGAGAGAAGCTTTTTCTGCCCTCCTCACTCAGAGTACTCGGGACCAACATCAGCATGGTGCTGAAAAACTTATTGTAGCAGAAGACTGGCAAATACTCTTCGTTCTCACTGGGCAAAAAGACAGGGAGTTATGGCCAGCTAGCACTCAAAAATGCCTCCTGGATGGAAAAGCTTCAGCAGCACTGATATGCATTCAGCAACATCACCACGCTGATGGAGACCACCATCCTCATAACATGCTGAGACACCAAAAGTGTGTCAGCAGCTCCAGTTTCCAGCCCCTCCACCCTGCCCTCCTTACTAATGGCTCGAGTTCACCTGCCAAGCTGTGAATTCACATAGACAATAACAGAGCTGAGACATTAACAGAGCTGAAAGAGACAAGTGAGAGTAATAATAACATCCACTGGAGCCTACCAGTAACTTTTCCCCATCTGCTCCTTTCATTTTTCAAAGGTGAAACATACAGCATTGAGGAAAAAGTAGGTTGTAACTGATCACACATAAACAATGTTCGAGACAATTTAACTTTCTTCATTGAAAACAGAAAGCTGTCAGGTAGAAATTTGTTGCCTCACCTTTACTACAGAAACATGGTTTGCAAGATGGTTTGAAAGAAAAAGACTCACTTCATTTGAGAGGAGTTTGACAGGAGCACCTACCCTACAGAAAAATAAGTTCATTTCTGTTTTAACAATTTTTCCTTAGAAACGTGCACCTGAATCCTCTTCCTTGAACTGGTCTTCTGCCTTCTTAGCTTGAAACATACTTAGAGTCACAAGGGTAATGGAAGAAAAAAAGAGAACTTAAAATATGACCCTCTGATAGGTATTTCTTCCTCTCCTCATCTATTACTACGTTATTTGGAACACACCGGGCAAGAAGCTTTCCTCCTCACAGATGTAAATGTTGTACTTCCACTCTGAATTTTTTTTTCTTATTTTTATATTGGTCTCCTCGGGATCAATATAAAGTACAAACAAAACAATGCATCAAATGCTTGGCCCACAGTTTTCATGCTCTGGAGTTTGGCTTAGGGGCTTTATAAACTGAGAATACACGGGTCGGAGTCCTTAAATGCATAAAAGGATAAAAATAAAAATGCATAAATAGTTCAAAAGGTGGGACGTAGGGGTGCTCTGAGACTCCCATACCCCAAACATTTCACCCCGCCTGAACGGCACTAGGATCCGAACTGATTACACCAATGAGTCCAGTAAACCACGCTTCCTCTCAGAAAACAAACGCATAGAGAGGCGAAAAAGCACGTTTTGAGAGCATGTGCCCAACTTTCCGGCCTGAAACCCTCCCGCAAGGTGACTTGGGGGCGGGAAGCCCTGCGGAGAGGGGTTGTTCATCGCTTCCCTCCGCCCCAGGGCTGCACAGCCGGCGGGCACGCCGAGGCGCGGGGGAAACACGCCGAGCTCCCGCACGGCCGGGCTGCCGTGCGGGCTTTGAGCCAGGAGAGCCCGGCACAAGCGCGGGGAACGCGGAGCTGCCCCTTCCCCACCCCGTCCCTTCAGCGGGAAGCGCTGCCCGACACCCCTCCGAGAGCACCGGGACCACCCCCGGCGCTCCCCTCGCTCCCTCCCGCCGAGAGCAGCGGGCCCGGCCGGCGCGGAGGGCGAGAATACCTTTCTCCTCCCGCCACAGCTTTTTCCGCTTGTTGCCGGGGTACATGGTGGCGTGGCTGGCGGCGGCTTTGAGCTGCAGGTTCCCCAGGCTCACGAGGGGGTGGAGGAGACGCCGTGCCAGAGCCAGAGCCAGAGCCAGAGCCGAGCGATGCCGCCGCTGCCGCCGGGTCCGGCTCCGCGCCCGCCGCACGGTGCCCGTCAGCCGGGTCACGCCTCGCTCTGCCCCGGCACCCCCGCAGCGCCCGCCCCGCTCCGCGCCGCCCGTTGGCTCCGGCAGCCGCCGCTCAGCCGCCGCCTCCTCCTCCCGCACCCACCGGGAGCAGCCCGAGCGCGGCGGCGCCGGCTCGGCGGATCTGCGGGGAGCGCGTTGTGCGGGGACACGGCGCGGCCGGGGCTCGGGCGTGCGCTCGGCGCGGCGCTCGCAGCCCCCGCGGGGCGAGAGGGAGGGAAGGAGCGGGCGGACAGCCCCGTCCCGCCCCGCCACCGCCCCCCGCCCGCCTCCTCCGCCCCTCTGCTTCCGGGTTGCGCCGGGCCCGGGCTGTGCCCGGCCGCCGCGGCTGTTGCCGGGCGACGGCGCCGGGCGGCCCCGGAGCTCCCGCGGCGCGGGGAGCTGCCCCGAGCGGCTTGACGGCAGCGGCTGCAGCTGCCGGGTGAGGATTCCGGCAGCGCGGCTGAGCTGGCGCGTCCCGAGGATGGTTCAGGGTCTGGGGCGCAAGTGCTGTGAGGAGCAGCTGAAGGAGCCGGGGATGGTCAGCCTGGAGAAAAGGATGCTCATAGATGGGCTTGTCAATCTCTAGAACTCCCCGAAAGGAGGCTGCAGCCATGTGGTCCCATGTAACCGAGTGTTAAAAATGGAAATTTATTCAGACAAATTAAAAATTAAAATAGTTTTATTAGCTGTCAAATTCTATCTAGGTAGCCACGGAAAAAACAGTGCCGAGGCCGGGGATCAACCCTAGGTGTGCCACAAGGAGTCACCTCAGCAGAGGTTTTCCCCTATGCTCACGCACCTCCATCCTGGCGCAAGAGGTTTTTATAGGGAAAATTCAGCCCGAGGCCAAGATTTCAGCAATCAGTCTTTTCTTCCATTCAGAGACCATAGGTTAATAAGATTTTCTTTCTTGGTGATGAGGAAGAAAAATTCAGTGTCCAGAGTTGTTGAATACCTTGATGAAGTGCACATGTATTTTCCTGAGGATTTCCATGATATCCATCTCAGGTATCCCTCCAGACATGGCCCATCTCCTGGCCAGGCCACATCCTTTTACTTGTAAATCAGGTTTCAACATACACCAGGTTTCGCCTGCAAGAGTTGGGGGGGCTTCTAATACAAAAGAGCATAATCTGACAAGTATCCAATATTACATATTTCATACAAGGAATGGCACAAATTATGTTTACTACACATAACACCAGCATGAGGACATAGTCTTTAGCTGGGCCAGGGAGGTTCGTGTTGGACATTGGGAGGAATTCCTTCACAGAAAGGGTGATTAGACATTGGAATGGGCTTCCCAGAGTGGTGGTGGAGTTACCACCCCTGGAGTGGTTGACATGTCCAGCCTTTTCCTAAACAATCTGGTCTTCACTCAAAGGTTGAAGTCGATGACCTCGAAGGTGGTTTGCAACCTATTTGATTCTGAGATTCTGTGACTCCTGGGATCCCTACACCACACTCCCAGCCCCTAGTCCCACCTATTGGAAAATCACCTCTGCCTGCAGCAGAGGCCAAGGTCTGCCCAGGTCCAAGGGTCAAGGAAGGCACCTTGGCCCCTGTGTCACTCAGCCTTCTCTGTAACAAGAGTAATTTTCTCCTTCGCACCAACTTCCGTGGACTAAATAAATAAAAACAAAAGCTTCCCTACAACTTACAAATTCTCTTAGCTTCACTTGTGCCCCACGGAGGGAAAGTTCCTTCCCATGCAGGTGAATGGATTTAGCCCTGGAGCATAGCAGGTGCTTGACTTAGAGCAGGAGTGATGAGGGGCTGGTGTGACAAAGGACACATCACAGCCTCACTGTGCTTATTTGACACAGCCTCACCAAGACAGAACAGTTGACAGGGGTACAGAGGTGTCCAATTGAAGTCAAACACGGAGTCTACATCTGCTCATATGGAAAATGGAATTCCAGGTAAATCGTACAGAGAATGTCTTATGTGCAGCCCCTGGTCAGGGACTGGATTTTCTCTTGTGACACACTTTTGTGCTTTACGTGTATCAAAGAAAGGTGAAATACAGCTTAGTAACATTTCAGTAGCAACATTTCACTTCTTTTCTCATAGTATTTGCTAAACACAAATGTTAGCATCTCTACTATAACCATTAATTTTGGTACAGTTCCTTACAGTGGAATCATTAATCTTATCCCACTTGCTGATGCAGGAAAGAACCCAGTTTACTTTTTAATAAATCAGACTGAGTCCTCTTTACAGAGCATATTTGAGCATTCATATTAGACCACCTATTGAAGGGTTATTGCTATCTTTACCTGATTTCTTTGCTTTGCCCAGGTGATGTGCCTTGGTAGCCCAAGCACAATCTTCTCATCTTGATAAGAAAAATGAGAGGGAAACCAACAGGTAAATTTTTATTTTCTTCTTTTTACGTCTATTATGTGGAGCAAATATTTGAATGCATATCCTAGATCACTGAATATTTACCAGGCTACTGAATATTCTGGTGTCCTGTGGGATCTGTTCCACATTTTATAAATCAATGTTTATTGGACCAGAAGGGGAGAAAGAGAAAACTTAGCTCTCATCCTATAGAGGCCATCTGCATGCATTCTGCAGTTTCATTTGTAAAAGCAGCTACAACAGCCATGATTTTGGAAAATATCTAAAGCAAGTATGTGCGTATATAAAGCATATATAAAAGGCATATCTAAAGCATTTGTAAAAGTAGAAAGAAAATGAAGCCTGATGTTTACACCAGCACCAAATTAAAGACAAGATAAAAGACGGAATAAAACTGGTCTTCGGCTTAAAAATAGAAGTGTCCAAATGTTACAATTCCAGTAGGGAAATTCTTACTGTATTTTACATTTTTTTCTTCAGGTGCTGGTGATACAATTGATCCCACTGAAGAAGCAATAAATTGTGCCACTGACTGATACGAGCGTGATCTGTCTTTTTACACTTGTTGATTCTGGAGGCCTGAAGGCAGAGAAACAATCAGCATTATCATACATGGTGGGAAAATTCACCTAAAAGTTGCATTTCAGTACTTGGATGAAAACCAATCATGCTGCAAACTGGGAGATTATTTTCTGAGAACACTGTAGTGAGCTGGCATACATTGAGGGCTAAAGCAATGCTCAGAAGGGCTCAAAAAAGTTCTGTTGAAAAAATGAATATGAAAATAGCAGCAACAGAAAATTGGTGTTGATCTAATGATTTGTGTGTATTTGGTCCATCCAAGGCCTAGTGAACTAAGTTCAGAATGGTGGCATTCTGCAGAGGAAGACGGGAAAACTGAGCAATGTCCAAAATTAGTATTTAAGAGATATATAGCCTAGATAGAATACTAATAGCTGCAAAAATGAACATTTAACATATGGATAAAGTAATGACTGGTTAGAGAGTTCCCATTGGAGATATAATAGAAAATGTAAATTAATATGAGAGGGAATACTATGCTATAGAAATGAATAAATGTACCAAAGAAGAGCTAGAGCCTCTATCCAAACTGCTGGATCATCCCACTGAACCAGCATTAAGGCTGCTACGTGCATCATTTCCTGACCAAAATAAACCATCCTGACCAAAATAAAGGCAGTGGCACAGCAAATCCTGGGCTGAGCCCTTGCAGAGCAAAGCTGAGCAGATCTGGGGCCCTGCAGGAGGAAGTTTGGGGCTGCTGGGTGAGCCCTGGCCCCGTGGAGGTCAGCTGTGGCACACCAGGAGAGTGGGTTTGGGATGCAGATTTTAAAGCAAGGATCAAAACATCAGTTGCTGGAGAAATAGAGAGGATGGGAATGGAAGTTGGCTGCTCCAAGTCTTGAAAGTCTTAAAAACATTTGAAAAATTCTGTGTCAAAGAGGGAAGGGCAAATTAGTGCCACCTTCACAACCACAGCATGGTATAGGGTCAGGGCCTGTGTTTGTGGGCATTGAACCATGGGCAGCAAAACTGGGCACTTTTGTGAGAAAAGGTGTGAAGTTTAACAAGAAGAAAATTTGCATGAAAATGGCAGTAAGCAGCTCTTTTCATTGCTTACAGTGGAAAGCAGTTCTTTGGTTTTCACACTGTTCATTTTTTCCTTGAATACAGCAGAAAAGATAAATATGAAATTGAGATGTCTTAAAGTTCTGAAATAATTTAAATTTTCATAATTTAAATATCAATTTTACTAACAAAAATTTAAAATGCAGATCTATATTCAGATTATTTCCTCAATTTCTACCTCATAAAAGCAGAAAGCAACAGAACATTATGGACAGTTTTACATGTTAAGAAAATATTTCTTCATCATGTACATGAAAGTACCTTTTTAAACATGTAATATCTGTAGCTATTAAACAAAATTGATTTATTACACTGATAACAGAGCAATATAACAATCTAAAATGTGTTTATAAATTATTTCTATTTAATAAAAATTTATTTCAGCCATCATTATTCTTTTCAAAGCTTGCTTGTGTAGCAAACTGTGCACTGTACGTGGTCCTGCAAATTTTGATAAACCCTGTGCCATGCACCTTTCCACTGCTGGAAATTCAAATACAAACTTAGAGCCCCTGTACATTAACTATGAAGTCTCTCCTCCTGTCCATCCCTATCACATGCTGGAAGTGTTCTGAGTCCTTTTCCCAAGGCTCCTGCAATATCACTGGTAAGATGCCATCTTTTGTTAGCACGTCCACTCTGAGGTACACTAACATGCACTGAAAACACAAAATGCACATCATCCATCTTTCATGCGACAGCTGCATCCCACCTACTGAACTTTCAAGCTCATGGCACACCTGGGTCAAGGTTCTGTTAATAAAATGATGCTGAGTGACAGAAGAGTGGGAAGTTAACTGCCTGAAAGCGTTTGATAAACTGTTACCTGTAATTTCTTCAGTTTGTTGCCTTGGGCAAATGTGCTAAGGAGGAAACAAGTAACTACAAGCCCCATTTGTCCAAGTGGGTGAGTGGAGGTGAAGATGAAAGGCAATACACTCGAATTACTCACAGCTTTTTGATTTTTGTCCACTTTGTCAGGGAACTATCTTTTGTTCCATCAAATAATTAGCTAAAAATAGCTAAAGTATTAGTGATAGCTAAACTATTCAAAGAAAGATAATTGTTTCTGTACTTTTGATGCATCTTTTGATATGATTGCATGATTCTGTTGTTTCATAACTAATTGAATTTCAGTTTAACCACTAAGGTTATAGCTGTATCTAGATATTGTCACTTTTGATAGTAAATAAATAGCACATTAAACACATAAATATATTGAGATAATTAGTCAAATAATCTAATATATATACATTATTAAGTGACATTTATGACAAGAAATCTAATATATATATATTATTGACATTTATGACAAGACTAACTTTTTAGTATTTTGATATCCACGTCTCATTTTTGATTTGTTGCAGCATTACAAACTTTGAGAAGAGAATTTTGTAGATCCTTTGAGGTCAGACCTATTTTAAATCAACTATTTTGGAAAACATTGTTCCCATATAGTACTATTTTAACACAGTTCAGTCTGGTGATGGAAATGAGTGGAGCATTTTCCCAAGACTTAATTAGAGTTCCAAAATACCGGGTGTGATTATGTACACCATGTGGGACTGGTGCATGTTATAATTACTGCATGTTGTTACCATGTTGTAGCTGAGTTCTGCAGTGAGGGCTGCTCTTCATTACAGCCAGAGGCAAAGGAGGCAAGGGAAAAAGGCAAAAGAGAAAGTGCTTTTCAGAGTTTCCACAATAACTCCAAAGGCTTCATGTTTTATGTGCAGCAGAAGACCCAGGGAAAAAAGGCAGGAATGTTCAACTTAGGCTCCTCTCCAGGATCAGCATCATATGGAAGAGATAAAAATACAAGCTGAAAAATTCAGCAGTTGATCCAGACTCAAACTGTCTTCTGCTCCTGGAACTATTCCTGGCTCAGAGAGGAAAAGAGGAAAGTGTCCTAACTCAGAGATGAATCAATGCAGAGAGGAGTGGAATGCCACACTGGCTCCCTGGGAGTTTGCCACAGTTCAGGTGTTTGTAGGTGTGATGGTGGTGGTTGCACAAACCTTTCCAGGCCTCTGCCAGTGGCTGCTGGAAACAGAAGTAACTTTTAATCTCAATTGTTCTGTATCTGAATGAACTAAGATGTATCTGAATGGAATAAGATGTATTCCACAAAGTACTTGATAGAGAAGAAAACTAAGTAGGAAATTACTCTTTTTTTATGCTGCTTGAAAAAGTGAAATTCCTGTTCAGCCTACAATGTCCTCAGTAAAAAATAAAGATTGAAAGCACAAACAGGATGAAAGTCAATGTGACCTGAATAGAGAAGAACAGAGTTAAAAAAAAAAAAATAAATAAAAAAACCACAAAAAGCAGGGTATGACCATGTGCTCAAACATAAAGCACATAAAAGCAATTCCATTGACTTCACCAGCACCACTGATGTACTCTTTGACTGCTGGGAACTTGACCTCAGCAGGCTGTGTACAACCTTCTTATCATCAAGAGAGTCAAGTGTCTCTGCAAGGACAGAATATAATTAAATGGGATCACATCTAGCAGAGGAAAGCATAATGTTAATCTGCAGTAGTAGTAAAAAATATTCCCTGCTTATAAAATTCCTTAAATGATAGCTTCTTTTTTTTCCAGAAAAACAACATCCTGGCATTAGAAACAGTCGAGCCAGGTGACCATAAGAAGAGGTAAATATGCATTTTTCTTGTTTTGGTTCTTCCCTCATGACTGCACACATCTACGTCTATACTTGGATTTTTATTTTAAGACTGCAAAGGGCAGAAGGCGAGTGATTTATTCCAACATGCTGTGCCATTATAGAGCTCAACTGGGGCTGGTTGGGCTGGGAAGTAATTGGTTGCTAAAACCAATAAAAGAAGGGAGTACCTTTAAAAGATATCTAACATGCTAATTGTTAAATTAGACTGAAATTACATTATTAAGACAGCTTTCAAGTGTCTGAAATGAAAGAATGTCATACATTCTGAGGAAATCTAGATCTCACCAGAGGGGACATCCACTGTCATTATTCTGCTATCTGCTATTTGTTCTGTTTTGTCTTTTATAACAGAGAAAAAAAAAAAAAAAAAAAAAAAAAAAAAAAAAAAAAAGCTAAGAAGCTAGGAGGTGGTTGAGAGTTGAAAGAATGAGCAGACAGATAAATGATGTAAGAATTGGAAAAATAACTCAAAATTTTAAAATTACATACAGGGTAAAGCTGGTACAAAACAGTTGATAAAAACTGAGGCTATTTTATATTTATATTATAACGTAGATGTTATACATCTTACTATTTTTGTTTCAACAGATAATATGCACCATCAAAATCGATGGAATTATATCATTGAAAATATATGTTTATTTAATATATAACAAGAAATAACTGAGTTAATTTTCAAGTCTGCTTTTCCATCTCTCTCTTTTGCTTGGTTATTTTATTTGGTTTAGCTTTATTCCCTCCAAATGATGCCATCTATTCATGGCATCTTCTATTCATGTTGCTATTCTTATAATTTCTGATCGATTTTGTTGTTAAATCTATCCATTCCTACACACCTTTTGGTGCACAGACTGGAAGCAAATACCAAGGCACATTTTGATTATGAAAGTACAGGTGCTAGTGAACATTAGTGAGATTCTGTGTGTGATACAAACAGAATCCCAGCATGGACAAAATTAAGGAATTATGGATGCACTGTGGCTGGAAGGCTCACAGAAGATCTTAGTCCAAAGCAAGGTTGCACCAGGGTGCTCAGATTTGACAGGTTTGGTGCTGAGCACCTCCTGGGGTAGTGGATTCTCAGCCTCTCCAGGCCACCTGTCCCAGCCTTGGCTGGATTTGCTGAAGTTTACCACCACCTTTTTTACATTTTCATCTAGAACCCAGCTTTAAAGGAATAGTTCAAAGAATTTCAAC